TTCAATATTATCAATAAATTTTTGAATTATTCTTATGTAATTGCTAAATATCAGAAGAACAGTAAACGGTACATACTTACTTGCATTTCATCGTGATCTGTAGGATGGGCTTTTAATTCCAAAGCGAAGAACATCGTCGTTTCTTTTGGGGGGCTCATAGATGACGTGTTTGGGCTGGTCCCTGCAGAAGCGGCCGACCACAATGAGACGTCGTGCAAAGACGGCAAATCATCTACAAATATTTTTGTCTCACGATTCGATTCGTCGGTAGCGCTTTGAGTCGAAGAAGTTATCAATAAATTCATGTTCGATAAATTCACGTGAGGCCGTTCGATAGTAACATGTGGACCAGGTGGTGCAGTAGTAGTTGAATTTAACTGTTTCCCGGTCGAAGCTTTGGAAATAGTTAAAATGCAGCATAAAAACATCAATACATCAGTCCGAGTAAGTAAATTCTTTGCAGCCATTTTGCTTGGAAACTATTTATTATATTTTTACTAGGACATTGATTTGAGAAGAGTTTTTATTTCAAATAACAAAATATAGCAATATTTGCCGCCTGATCTTATTTCCTCTCACTTGAGCTGCGGCAACATTTCTATTTCTTTCATGGACTCTCATGTACACTTCTAGGCATTATCCTCGTGTTATCAGAAGTTGGGATTCTAAACAAATTTCAATTTTTATAATAAATTCCTTGCGCAGAGTTGCAGATTCTCACTATTTTCCAATTTGATAAAGAAATTTCCTATCACCGAAATCGTCAAGGCACCTTATCAAAAACGTAATTTTAACATCGGAAGAAACGCACGTCTGAGACGATCAGGCTTGACTCAACTGAGGGACGAAGCAAGACGGTGTGCCTGGTGTTGCCTCAGAATACGATTGCTGATAGCTTATCTTTTGTAGCGGATGTGCAATGCTGCTGTATTTGTTGAAAATGTAGCCAAAGTTCGTTCACGCGATTACGTGCGGTGCTTCTTGTAAAAGCAAGACGACTTGAGGAGAAATGTATTACCATACTACCCCTACTATGTACAGCTTTGGTCAAACTGCAAATAGTGGCGCGACGTAAAAGTATAGCTCATGATTCAAGCCATCTTATTGGTGTTCAATGACGCTTATATCTTATCTTGATATACATTCCTATCAAACTACATATCACTTATCTCTAGGAAACTTATTTTTCCTACAAATAGGAGCAAATAACCTCGCTTGCAGTTGAGGTTGGCTCCGTAAGTGTACTAATTTGCATATGGGGCGGTCATAAGAGTTTGACAGCAAACGACTTTAACTCATTGCAAGAGGGTTAATGTGAATTAATAAGTAAAGTCTTCATTATAAATTATTCAATAAGGAAAAGATATCCACACCTCCAGCTGGAAATCCTGTTATAGTTAACTGCTGATTTAACAGATTATTAATATCGTTCTTGTCGTCAACGGATCGCCGCTAGACCATCCGGTAGGATGCCGGTCCTTCACAATTCGCCGTACTCGCGGAGCTCCCAGGATGTATCTTAGTTTGGGGAGTTAAGTCGTCTTATGAAGCATTCTATTACTATATAATATTGGCGTGATAATCTTTATTTGAATATCTATCCAAATTTCATTTTGAAGAAACAATGACATTTTTCTTATAATTGGTGTTAGTAATTAATTTACGATTTACAGACGATATGAATATGGTATGCCATTAAATGTATTGCTTGGCTCAGGAAACTGCTTTGTATACTAGTAGCTCATCACTTCCATAATTTCAAAATTTCGGCTATTATTTTTTCGTCATTGCCTTAATGGCGCATATATATTGCAATGAATAAAACTTGTACGATTAAACTGCTTTCATTGAATAATTTTACTGTAACCTGTATCCCTGTAAATGACGAGTGTCACCCTTAAGTTAAAATACGACTAACTCTCATATAATATATTTTATTTCATAAGAATGTCGACACTATTGTTTCGCAAATAACATTAGAAACTTTTCCTCATTTATATCCGAAAAGCATGAGGTGAAAACCAGCTTTAGGAGAATCCAATTTACCTCGGCGATAGAGTTAAACTAATTTACACACGAACACAATCTTAAATAACACACTAAACTGTGCCAAGCGAAAGCAGAGAAAACGCCAAATGAATTCACCATATCTTTAACGGAAAGGTTATCAGTTCAAAACGGACATGATGAATTGATGGTAAAGCTGGTCTCCGAAACCTTTTCCTGGAAGATATGGTGAATTCATTTAGCCTTTTCTTTGCTTCAATTCTTGGTGAAGTTGATTTTCAAGCAGACTAATTATATAAATGCTTTTTACGAACTAGGCGATGATAATGTGGAAGTTGAGCTCTTATAATATCCACTGTACTATTTATCTTTCAACATTCTCTTACACACTGAAGACGAATTCTCTCAATGGTATTTTTCAGAAAGGCACTGAAATGCCTATAAATTATAACGAATTACTGGTTTTTGGCTGTAAAATTCTATCATACAACCATAATTTAAACAAATCATCTGAACGGCTGTTATCTTTAATGCCATGATAAGCCAGAAGCATTTTTGTAGGTCATTGACGATATTACGCTTGATTATGATTTATGAACTCAGCTTATCGATTTTTATAAAACCATGTTAAATAAGGTTACTCTCATTCAGGTTACTCTCAGTCATTTATATCAATACAACCGAAAGGAGTCCACAAGAACTATTTATTTCTAGTCGTCAATAATGCAAAAGACAGTAATTATCTTTCAACAAAATCAGTCTTAGATGTATACGGAACAAATTGCAAGTCCGCAGGACAGTGTTTAGTAAGCTTGCTTGTCTTCAACATCCATTAATATTTGTAGACAATAACTGCAAAGTTTCTATAGTGATGGCAAAAAGCTGAGAGCAACACACGGCCTATCTTCCTTGTCCACTATATATGTTCATCACCGAAAGAAAAAACATTGCAGAATATTTTCATGTTTATTATTTGTAAAAAATGTTCCACAATAAAATTGCTAACGATAAGCATTTACACGTAGATATTGAATAGCATTTATAATTACCCTCAATAAACGAACTGAGATTTTAGCGAAGCTCTAAGAGAAACAGTGAATATTGCATCGTAATTTATACGCTGAAAACCAATTTTGTATAAACCAAATAATTTCGAAATCCTCATCCAGCTATTACGACTTGCTTACCCCATATTGGGGTAAATTTTTCGTCATCCCTTCGTACATGATAGCCTACTAATTTTCCATTCATTGTAGTTTTTCCTCTAAAATTTATCAGCCATATCTTCAACACTCACATCCGAACAGAACATGTAGACAGATGTCTTCAAATCGCAAAAAATCACAAATTTAAAAAATTTCTCAAACAAAATTACTCATGTGCGTAACAGTAGAAATTGATCTGCAACCATCAGAAAATGGCGCGAATCGACCACCATTTTCGTCAGCTAAAAATTTACCGGTGATAAGTAATATATATTTGAAGTGGGTGTTTTGAGCCTCCATGAGAAATATGTACGTAGAGGCAATATTCGGGCGCCTAGTTGCTCAGAATGTCCATCGTGTCAAGATACCACCAGTAGCCAACATTTTATTTTAGCTTGGAATCACGAGGCATTAAACAGTGCCTTTTGATCAAATAAAAATGATATTAAATGAAATTTTTATTTATTCCAGATGAAGTTGAATGAAAAATTCTGCCTTCTATCCCATTTCCAATTTCAAAACGACTCTCGTTAATTTTCATTAATTAGTTTGAAGATATTTAGCACCATTTGACAAAAGGATCATCAAATTTCGATTATAATCTATCCCGATTAACGCTTGTCTCCTCAGCCAGTATCATTTCTTAAATCCCATATACGTTGTTCGATCCTTTCAACATTGATATTGAGCATTAACTGAAAATTAATAAGTGAATTAAAAAAGTCTCATAGAACAAACTCTTGGCATGCCTAATTTTCACAATTTAAAACTGAGGGATGTACTAAAAATATCGCTACGAATATCGGAAACTTCGAGATGTCGTGCAATTGATAATGTAACAAGATTTTATTCACACGTTCCTCGTAATACAAAATTTAGAAGTAACACATAATGACTTGGGAATTTACGGCCCATGTTTAACTGTCCAAGTGACCATTCGTCAGAAATATTGTGCATGGACGCACTTTCAAGTCTCTTCCAACGACGATGAAATATTAGGGCTGAAATTCAACGTAAAACCAATACTCAATACAGTAGAACTTTTACATATCCATCTCTTCTAACTTCCCTCATGAGAAAATATGTCAATGGATTAACTGGAATCAAATTGGTACGTATTACTAGAATGGAGCTAAGATCCAAATCATAGCTGTTATCCTACGAGTAATATGTTATGGATATATGAAAGAGTTAATCGTCTGCATATATTTAAAGCCTATCGTGAAGTACGATATTAATGTGCCTTTAACGCAAAACTAGGCGTACGGCCAGCAGATTAAACAAAACCAGCGCAACACAAAATCATACATTGTGCATTATTAATTTATTACGAGGAAATATTAAATCAAGTGATTTTAATGGAAAACTCAATGACAGAGTTCTGGTGGTTAATGGGACTCTATGATTGCAGAGATTATCGAGATCGGCCAACGACGGGCGATGCTGCTATACATGGGCAGAAATTAAACTGCAGTATTCTGCATATTAATAATCAATATCAGAACTACATAAAATCAAGCGTTAGGTATAGTAATATTTAATAAATAACAAAGTAAAATCAAGTATTCCGCATAATAATAATAATCAAAACAAGCCTATCATGAGGTCAAGTGATATACTTAATTTGTATTACTCAATACATGAGCAAAATAAAACCAAGTTTATTACAAAGTAATAACTCAATAAAAATAAAGTCGAATAAATAATAAAAAAATCTAATAAAGTAAGAAAGTGGATATAAAATGAAGCATTATTCGTAGTAGTATTCAATAAAAGTTCAACACAAAATTATGTATTATGCAAAATAATACTCAATACAAGAGCAGTGCAGAAAATGGGATAGCATAAAGCAAAGGTAACTGGAGCTGCGGATGAAGCCGTCGTAGCAACCACGCTGCTGCTGTTCATCCCGCCTCCAGTCCAAGCCTGAAACAATTATGTATTGAATTTATTGTTAACATAAACTACCACTCAAATTGCTTTCAATTCATTGAAAGATTCGTAAAGACGAACTTACCATTCACCTTTTTTATACAGGCTCCACAATATAAGTGTATTTCATTTATGACAATAGTTTTTCGGGAAAAATAAATTTGCATTGATTTCGCAAATTTTATCTTCCCTTCAGATGGCTGTTGAAGAATGCACTAAATTCTTGATGAATTATGTCGCTGTAATGATTATTGCCAGTGCATTTGGTCAATAGACTGGAATTAACAACAGAGTGCCCAAAAGATTGTTATACTATACATTTAGGGAAGATGCTGCATGCTCCCAGTGGATCTATAATCTTAGCACAATGACTACAATGACTTTATTGCAACAGTGATTCAATATTTAATTTAAAAAATAAAAGTAATTGCACTCACATTACTAGAACATTATATTAATAAAAGAGGCTATGCTTAAGCCACAATGGATACTACGTAGATTTTGCGTCGATTGCAATAGTAACGCAAAACGAATTACCTAGGTTTTAATAATAATTTAATAACGTAATATGTAAAAACGCTTCTATAATATAAACGCAAAATAACTTCAATGATTCCAGCACGAATATTGTATGCAAATTGAGTGAATTCGCTGCACGTACAATGCTTCAATGATCTGACCTCGACCGTAACGTTGTAAGATGTCTCGTATCGCAGGTCATCAAATACGCATTGGTCTTGCGTTGACGAAGCTTTTTCCCTCGCCACAATGGTATCGTCTTGGCTTAGTATGATGTGGTACCATAACAAGATTCCGTTCAGAATTTCCGGCTCAGACCAAAATATTTCCAGCGTCTTGTGACGTGCTTGGTACGGCTTGATACCGGGCTCAGAAGGAGCTGTTCACGAGATGGACTTTATTCGTAAGAGGATTAGGTAAACACTTACGGTTACAATGCTCTCACTATTTCATATTTTCCTCATTCTCATTGGTTTTAGAGTTAAAAAAATTCTAAATATTTTAAAAATATTTCGTGACCGTATTTGATAAATTATTGAGTATGTTTGCTCCATCAATATTCAAAAAATTTAAAAATTTTCGTGAGTGTATATGTCCTAGAATTAGTCTTGTATTCTTGTTCTAGCTCTAGAAAATAGAATTTCTGCATATTTTTATGCCTGCCCTATTTTCTGGTGAACAATATGAACCTATGTATACCGGTGGTTTAAATACATTCAGAATATTTCAAATTTCAATTTCCTAAAGACTACATAGACCGAGATACTCACACGCTTGATATGTGCGACACCTCAGCTGTTCAGAGTAACTTCCAGGCCTTTCTTTTGACCATGCCACGACCGTGATCGTGTATTGCGTGTATGGCGTGAGACCGTCAATCACGACATATTCCTTGTCACCGTTTACAGGGACCGATCCATTCACCCAACTGTGGTTCCCCCACAAGATCTCGCCGTAGTAGCTGACGCTGTAGTTCGTGATGACGCAGGCGGTGTTGGGCCTCGACCACGACAGCAAAATTCTGGTGCTCGATACGGACGGGCACCAGAGATCGGTAACTTCTGGATGAACTGCCAAATCAATTACAAATATGGGAATTTTCCTGATGCTCGTCAGACAGTACATTTATGTCTGTGAGGCTAAATAGTTTTACATATATTGTTATTGGTAGCATTATGATTGACTATTATTTGAAGTTTTTTTTTTGTAAAAAAAAAAATCCGAAGTTTTTAGAAAGATATCCCAGATAAGCATGAATTAACTCAAGGTAAGTATCAGACGTAGGGATTAAATCTATGCATTCTCTACTTCTCAGGAAATTTCATGTGATAGCATTATCTCAGAAATTAGTGCTCATTCTTTTTATTACTTCCTGAAGTCAAAATAAACTGCTATTTTCTACACTCAAGACAAGAAATCAGCCATTATGTCTTTTATCATTCCAATCACAATTTATGACCATGTTTAATAAGAAAGCATCGCCAGAATAAGAGTCACATAATTGTTATACAACATGACACCTTCAGATCCCGTCATCGCATGGGTGTAGCTCCCCTCCCCATAGCCTGCTCCTGTTTGAGCCTTGACGGTAATGTTATATAGGACGCAAGGGACGAGCTCATCAATGAGGAAGCTTGTGGTGTTGACTTCAGCTAGTTGATTATCTCCTGATCCATCATCCCAAGTTATCAGGTAGTCGCCCAAAATTCCATTCTCTTCTCCAGGGACCTTCCACGATACAAATATCTCTGTTGGACTCGTAGAGTTTGCCATCAGGTTTCGAATTTCAGAAGGCTCTGCAGGATGACAAATTGATGTTAAATTGTAACTTGCTCTGTAACCGGAGATATATCGTATATTGCTAATGAGTTTGAATTAATCGATTCACCTTCTATTCTTAATTGTGCTGGCCTCTAAATCTATGTATTTGATTTTGAAAATAAATCATAGCACAAAGCGAATAAATATGTTTATGTCATCTGTATACACACGAGCAATTTTGTGAACTAACGAGTGAGAGTATTTGTATTCAATCTATATCCCATTCATATTTCTCTTGCCCTGCAAAATGACCAAACCGCCGATGCACTTACGAGCTTCCAGAGTGCGAGTCACCAGAGGTTCAGAGGGTCTCCCGGGCCCCTCTGCAGTCGAGGCCACGACCGTGATCGTGTATTCTGTATACGGGATGAGATCGGTAATAACATAAGATTCTTCCGAGCTGTTAACTGAGCAGGATCCATTCACCCAACTGCCGTTCCCCCACAGGAGCTTGCCGTAGTAGCTGACGTTGTAGCCTGTGATGTCGCACTCCGTGTCGGGCGTCGACCACGACAGCGCAATGCTGGTGCTCGTCACATTCGTGTCAATAAGATCCGTAACCTCAGGAGGAACTGCCCAAAAAATGTTTAATCGATTTTATCAGCGGATGCTCGTCTGACAGTGTCATTTTGAGAGTGAGATTCCATTTGTATGTAGAACGCTAAAAAATTCCGTTTTGGCATAAAGAAAATTTTAGTGTATAAATTGACAGTGACGACCGTGACAGTAAGTTCCGTCACTCCAGGAGAAACTGGTCAAGTGAAAACAGAAATTTCACTGGACTGCAATCTTATTTGATGGCAAAAACGATTGTGAATGAGGCTGCTCTAATAATTTTCAAGCGATCTTTGCGAGCAACAAGTACTCATGAGAGCATATATTCAATTCAGGGAATGCTTTGGAAGATAATTCGGTGCATTGAATGTATTCGAAATTTATTAGGGTGAGAAAATCTATAAAGTCCGAAACATCGACGCATTATTCGATTAGTAGTCAGAATAACCAGTATAAAATATTTGAGATAAAATTAGCAAGCGTCTTAATTGCATCCATTAATACGCCTTTACCGCATCCTGAGTAGCAAACCAGTAGGCTTAACTATCTGCGCAATTCGTGACAATAAACCATTCACTCATTCTTCCAAACCATTCACTCAATAAACCATTCACTAATGACCCACTTTTCCTTTTCCGGGTAATTTCTAGCCTTATCAACATCGCCTGAAATATTCTCAAAATTAATTTTAGAACACAATGAGATGATTGTCACCATCTGAATCAGGCGTAGCGTCGATGTAGCTCTCCTCCCCATAGCCTGCTCCTGTTTGAGCCTTGACGGTAATGTTATAAAGGACGCAAGGGATGAGGCCTTCAATGAGGAAGCTTGTGGTGTTGACTTCAGCTGATTGATTATCTCCTGATCCATCATCCCAAGTTATCAGGTAGTCGCCCAAAATTCCATTCTCTTCCTTAGGGACCTCCCACGATACAAATATCTCTGTTGGACTCGTAGAGTTTGCCATCAGGTTACGAACTTCAGAAGGATCTGCAGGATAACAAAATGACTGACTCGGGTCTGTTTTGTGAACAGTATTATACGATAAACAGAGAAAGAACCAACTTCATTGTTTTGTTTTTGCCTCTTGATGAATAAGAGTGCTATTATGCAGACTTATTTTATGAATTTGTTTGGAGATCGTTACTATTACCAAACGAAAAACATGCAAAAAAATTATGAAACAATGTGACCAAATGAGTGAAGTGACTTTACTTCTATTTTTTGCGCTTGATGATTGACTACAGTTGTAAGGGATCTTATCAATTAAATTAAGTATTTATTAACTTTACCTGCTCATGGTACAAATTAGGACTATCTATATTAACAGGTCTGTTCAATTTATTATATTTGATGAATTAATGAATAAACAATCAAATCAAAACTCCAAGCTCCGTTGACTGACCACATCTTATCAGGTATTGAATTCTCACATGCTTCGGCAGTAGTAATGGTCAGATGCTCTGAAGGCATTCCAGGCCCCTCTACAGTCGAGGCCACGACCGTTATCGTGTATTGCGTGTACGGAGTGAGACCGTCAATCTCGACATATTCTTGGCTCCCGTTTACAGATCTCGATCCATTCACCCAACTGCCGTCCCTCCACAGGATTTTGCCGTAGTAGGTGACGTTGTAGCCTGTGATGTCACACTTCGTGTCGGGCGTCGACCACGACAGCGCAATGCTGGTGCTCGCCACATTCGTGCTATTGAGATCCGTAACCTCCGGAGGAACTGCCCAAAAAATTTTAATCGATTTATCAGCGGATGCTCTTCTGGCAGTGCCTTTTCGTGAGTGAGATTCCATTTGTACGTAGATCGCATAACAATTTCGTTGTTGGCACTCATTAAGAAATTGTAGTGTGCAAATTGCTAGTGACTCCCGCGACAGTGAGATATCCGTCACTGTCGCAGAAAATGATCGAGTGAAAACAAAAATTTCACTGTGCTGACAATTTTTTATGGTAGAAACATGTGTGAATTAGGATACTTTGTTATTTTCAAGCGATCTTTGAGAAAAACAAGTTCTACAGAAATTTCATTCGGGGAATGCTTTGGAAGGTAATTCGGTGCATGGAGTGTATTAGAATTTTATACGAGTGAAAAAATTGATATAAAGTTTGAAATATCGACGCATTAATACGATTCGTGGTCAGAATTACCAGTAGAAAATATTTGAAATAAAATTAACAGGTGTTTTAATTGCATTCATTTATACGTCTTTACCACATCTTGACGAAAAAACCATTAACTATCTGCGCAATCCATATAAAATTAAACTAGTCACTCTTTTTTCCACTTTTAATTGACACACTTTTCCTTTCCGGGCAACGTCTAACATTAACAACATCGTCTGAAATATTCTCAAAATTAATTTTAGAACACAATAAGATGATTGTTACCATCTGAATTAGTCGTAGCGTCGATGTAGCTCTTTTCTCCATAGCCTGCTCCTGTTTGAGCCTTGACGGTAATGTTATATAGGACGCAAGGGATGAGGTTTTTAATGAGGAAGCTTGTGGTGTTGACTTCAGCTAGTTGATTATCTCCTGATCCATCATCCCAAGTTATCAGGTAGTCGCCCAAAATTCCATTCTCTTACTGCCATCCTCGCCCTGACGCTGCTGGTCGCAACTCCGGGACTCATCAGCGGACAGCCCGCCGCTCCATCCGGCGGCTATGATCCAGGCTCTCGGGATGGCATAATGGGGTCCGTGCTAGAAATGATTGCTTGTAATAAACCTTGCGAGAAACGATCCGCGAATAACGAATGTGTGAGGGACATACAGTGTATTCTTAGGACACAGTCCGGACCCAGACCTCGTACTCGACTTTAAAACTTTAGCGAGCAATTCACCATAAATGATCACTTAAAATCTTGTCTAAAAGACACACCGCGGCCCTCGGCTTGTCTATGAGGCTATTTTATCATGCCTCTGTCAATCACCAATTATCAGACCATCGTTCCATACATACCATCATCCTCTCTTATGCACAACAGTTAGAATATGAGCATTGAAATTAAATTTTTGAATGGGACAATAAAATTGACGCTCTTTCCGCATTTTCTTGAAAGTTGGAATTAGCAATATCTAGTTTATATCTGAAATAGTTTAATTGGATCAAGGCTGAGTATGTTTCTCTTCTTTATCAAATGTTCGAATTTATATTTTATAATATTTTTAGCTTAGAGACCTATTTGATTTTTCAACTGCGATTTAATTGTTCAATATTCAAAACTTTTGAAAGTCTGATGAGCGTGAGCTCGTGAATATTTCGTGTTTAACTTAGTAAAATACATCTGATTATGCATTAAAATCACTCAAGTTCTATGCAATTAACTTTGATTTACCTACCTTATACAATTACTAGAATTCGTCACTTCAAGTGTATGACATATTAAATTTATGAAACTTGAATGAAGTGGCATAACGTGAGCGCGCTTTAACAATAACGTGAAAACCCTTCGAAAATCAAAAATATAATTGGATTCCATATATGCAATGTAAAAAGAAACGTTCGAGAGTCAAGCAGCTGGGAAAGGCACTAAATGAAATATTGGTTAGCAAACAGAGTGGAATTCTGTTTGTAATTTCCCATAAATTCAACGTCAATCCAGCTACTTGCTTGATCAAAAATGTCAGTTTAGTTAGAAGAGATGGTCCTGATCAACATTTGGTACATCCTACGCTTTACTGAATTCTTACGGCACCAAAGACACATTTTGAATGAGTTTGATATCTCTTGGCGGTTTTATTCATAATCTTGCCGCTCCAAAATCATTTATACATAACCTCTATCCCGACTTCCATGCTTGTAGGTGACATATTTCCAATAGATAACAAAATCTCAGTGCGGTATGAATTTTTTTCCAGTGGCAAGTTGCAACCATCAACAGGGAAGAATTTGAGGGCGTAATAAATGAACAGTGAGACACTCGACCATTCCTGTATGACATGGCAGATATTTTTGAATTAAGCTTGTAGCCCAGACGGATCTATTGTAAATATATNGGTCACCAGCGCTACAGAAGGTCTCCCGGGCCCCTCAGCAGTCGAGGCCACGACTGTGATCGTGTATTCTGTATACGGGATGAGATTGGTAATAACATAAGATTCTTCCGAGCTGTTAACTGAGCAGGATCCATTCACCCAGTTGCCTTCCCCCCACAGGACCTTGCCGTAGTAGCTGACGTTGTAGCCTGTGACGTTGCACTCCGTGTCGGGCGTCGACCACGACAGCGCAATGCTGGTGCTCGTCACGACCGTGATAGTAAGATCCGTCACTTCGGGAGGAACTGCTCAGCAAAACCCGAATGAGTTGGTCGCCTGATGCGGGTCTTAAATTTATCTGACTCTTTAACACTAAGGTAATTTATGGATTAATAGTTTCTAATTAAGCATTTTTAGCATAGTCTCTATAATTTGCTAAGTAGACGTACAAATTAGTCGATAGGATCTTGAATTGACCTAGAGGTATTCATAACACGATGGTTCCGCGCTTATAGTTTTGTCCCTAGATAATAAAAATAAGTAATCAGCGCAGCAGATTGATTCAATAAACAGCCGTTTACACATTAGGAAAATGGGAGTGATTGTATTAATCGCCATTTATCTAACATTTATGAACTTGTAAGACTAGCACTAGGGAATGAAAGCAGAGCGGTGGGAGTCCCTTAATTAAGGTCTAACTCGTTCCTTGCGCTCGTTTGTTCAAAACCACCTTTGTTTCATATGTTGTTCTTGTTCCTTTTCCAAACGTTATATTTTGGGTTGTCCCTTGAATTGAAGGCTGAGTTCTGTAAATTGCGACACATTTTCCGTCACAAGTATCACCCGGAATTTGCCGGAAATGCGAATTTTCTACCCGTACATCATTGTATCATAACACCGCCCAAAGTAAACCATTCCTAAAAATTATCAAGATTATTGAATAAAATAACAAAATAGTATCTGTAGCGCCTCAACTATATATGGTGATCACCCATAAATACTGTTACACGGATTGATTTCGCTTGAAACAGAGGAGATGCACGGTATGTGCTCTACTTGTTCCTACTTTTCGGGGAATTTTTCTGGGACAATGCGTGCAGTTCACATAATATATCATCCACTTGTAACCGGTAACACCGCCGTTAAGTTTCAATAGTTAAGAGTAGCGTTAATAGGTAAATCTTGAAAATCTTGGGTGCATTGTTAATGCTCACAAGATTTTCGTATCGATGTTAAACACAAGGGCTAAAGAGTCCAATTTTAAACACAAGGGCAAAGAGTCCAATTTTAAACACAAGGGCAAAGAGTCCAATTTTAAACACAAGGTCTAAAGAGTCCAATTTTATACACAAGGACCAAAGAGTCCAATTTTAAAAACAAGGGCTAAAGAGTCCAATTTTAAACACAATGACTAAAGAGTCCAATTTTAAACACAAGGACTAAAGAGTCCAATTTTCAACACAACGGCTAAAGAGTCCATATTTCAACACAAGGGCTAAAGAATCTAATTTTAAACACAAGGGCTAAGAGTCAAATTTTATACACAAGGACTAAAGAGTCCAATTTTAAACACAAGGGCTAAAGAGACCAATTTTAAACACAAGGGCTAAAGAGTTCAACTTTAAACACAAGGACTAAAGAGTACAACAATCCCCGTTGGCACGCCATTCGTATACAAGTGGCATCGAATTCAATATTTCTGAACTTTTTGAAACTGGGCTTTGGTGTTGAAGCTGTTGATACCGTGATTCATAATTCTAGTGATCATTGGTCAAATTAGTTGCCTTTTCGTTTTAACAAATTCCAATTAAGCAACGCTTTTAGCTTTAGGTCTTTTCAAGCATTTAACTATAGTAAATTGAGTAATTGAGCATAAATTATTTTGCCATTAACTATATATTTGCTGTTTTAATTTGCCATAATCAGTGTCATTTATCACTACTATCTCCAGCATTGTCAATGGCTCTAATGTTCCATGCCATCATCTATTATATTTTCCTATAGTAATATGCATATTTATTTCATCTAATTTCCAGAACGATGTATGGGCATCAACTGCATTGAAAAATTTGGCAACTGGTTTTCTCTTCAGCGATTGGTGTAGCGGCCATGCTAAATATCGAGGTCAATGAAACAAGAAGGACAAATTTTCAATGTGTGAGGCCGAACAAAAAAATCGAACAAGAGCTTAGTCTCCTAAACCGTCCAGACTGTATAACCAATAAATCAATTTCTCACACAGTGTAAATTGGCTTACGGAGGAATTAATATGCTCAATGAAATGAATTTTTGTGCAAACAAAATGGATTAACTCTTTATAATATAATGCTGGACGACATGACATGTAAAGATTTTGAGCGGGAAATTTGGCATTAAAAATCCTAAAAAAACAGTAGCCGAGTTTATAACTCAGGATCATCTTCAAACTCATTTTGAAATATAATGACGCAATTTAAGCCGGTTCCAATTATTTTTTCCCAATTGCCATTAGATTCATCATAATGAGATGCAGTTTATTGGCCTCTCGGTGCCGAATGTATAATTATTCGTTCGATAGATATCATCCGGATATTATCCATCAAATTAGTTATATATATGATCTGCAATTATTTCTCATAATAAATTCATGGACTGAATTTGCCAAGATGAACATAGTATTGAAGTGTCATAGTAAATTTATTCGAAGTGAATCAAAAACTGCGCGCAAGCTGTGTGTACTTACTGAAATTATGATGCTTACTAGATGGACTTTCAATTCCAATATGGGGGCCAAGTCCATTAATTGGTGTCCTTGCGGGAAAGTCTGAGGAGCTCGACCGTCTTGTCCTTGCAGGCGCCGACAACCGCAATGTGTCAAGACCTTCGGGACTCGGGAACGATTTTTCCCCGTAAAGTTTGGACGGCTGAATCAATGAATCGGTTACGTCTGATGCCTCAGATGTCTGTAATACATTGACTTTCGGCCAATTAATCTGTTGTCGCTCGACGTTTTCGCGCGATTCAGAAGGTGTTGTCGCTGTGATATAAAATTCCCGTGTCGAGGCCGCGTTAAGAACCGAGATGGAGCTGATAAGCACAAACATCAATTTCTCTATATAGTTCACAGCCATTTTTCCTATTAAGTGTTTTCAGAATATTTATCCTAAAAATAATTAGAAACTTGTTCAGTTTATGAGTAATTTGAGAATTTAACTCTTCTTGTAGGGTTATTCGCTTTTAGCTGCAGTTCTATTTCTTTCGCTGTATATCACTTAAACTTCAATGAAAACACCAGTACCGCAATCGAGTGCATATAACTATATTTTACTCTAAAAATTGCAGTTTTCGTGTGTGCAAATCAATAGGTCCGTTTAATGTGCTTAGAATATTTATAGAGTAAATGGCCCCAAGAAGCGTCTGAAGTTAGGTATACGTCTAGAACGTCGAAGCTTGACTCCTCTGACGGAAGAAGCGAGGTGGTTGCCTCAGAATATGCTTGCTGATAGCGTATCTATTTCATAAATGTAATGCTGCTTAATCAGAATAAACTCTGCTGAAGCGTGAAATTTGATAAGGCGACAGACAGAGATTTTTACTTTTTCCTAATCCTTCAACCTTCACTCTTCTTATCACTGCACCAGTTGTGTTAAGTCGTCCAAATTCGCTCAAGTGGTATATTTTTTCCACATCTAAGTTTCGAGTGAAAGCTTCGAACTAAGTACTATATGAGGTCGTAAATCTGATAAATAAGGTCGTAAATCGTAAATGAGGTCGTATGGTGATAGAATTGGCTGAAAATCGTCAGTGGGTCAGAAAAATGCGTTCGTTTTTTAACAATCCCTGACTCAGACCAGTGGGTCTTCCAGAACAGCTCTTTTCTTGACATGTAGGTGTTGAAAAATCTTGAAACTATGCTGGAAGAACTATCATGCCAACGGATCATTAGGCTAAAATGGATAGCATATACAGTCCTTCCCTTGACTCAAACCCTCGTATCTTTTCCCGAGTGTCAGCAATATATCATGTTGTTGGATGCATGTTTAAGACCTCTTGAAGCATCGCAACACATGATGTCGTTATTATGACGAGTTGAAGGTTATGCTCAAACCCTAAAATTTTATTACCTGATAACGCTCCTACAATCTCACGTTTAGTTATTGAAGTTCGAACACGAGTTATGAGACACTGCAATAATTAAATTCCTAAAGCTATAATGTTTTCCTTAATTTATTGTGTCGGCATGCATCGATATTAATTTCTTATCATTATTATTCATAGACGAAACCAATCGTTATCATTCATCAGCAGCTTATACTAAATAAATTAGTTCATGATGTACAGGAGAACTACTTTCTTCATCTAATTTCTTCTCATCACAGCTGAACCAACTCATCAGCTAATTACATGAGAGGAATAACCCAAATAAAAATTTACAAATAATAGAGCACAAAACGTTCTGCGCTTACAATTGTAATAATTTGTGACTTTCCATATGAATTCTAGATTCTACGAACTGACGATGCAGCTGGACTTCGAAACGTTTTCTATAAAGATATTAATTTTTGTGGACTATTACTTTGCTTTTAAATTTTTAGTAAACAATCTCTAAATTTAGACATATCCTGTAGTTTGGAAATATCTGAGGTCCAATCCAAAGTGACGAGGGTTCCAGCAATCGTTGGTCGATTAATGTTGTGCACCTCTGCATGATGACGATACATGGTGGGTTTCTCCGGCACAGTGCGAGCGACGGTCTTGTGAGTTTGTCTCAGAGGGTTCCTCTGCCCTCTGGTGTGAAGCTAGCAGGTAAGACAGTCTCAATGTCATGGTTGTTAGTCCAATTACTCCAGTGCAGACCAAATGATGAAGAAGTCTACTAACTTTTATGAGGTAAAATTTATAGACTACGCTTCACCGGCCTATTGGATAGCTCCCTCTTTTTTGCAGAGTCCATTGTTGCGTAATGCGTATAGTTTGACGTTGTTGTCAAGGGTGTCATCAAGCTCATGGAATTCATCAACGATCTTGATATGAAATTGCTTTTTGGTTGTACTCAGTTTCGTAGTTGTTAGTCCGATTACTCCAATGTAGTGCAAATAATAAAGAAGTCTACAACTTACCTCGAAGCACAATTTATAGACTATACCGTGTCACGTCCTCCAAATTAAATTCTGAAAGGTTACCTACTTATTGATTGAATATTCAACTTAAAATGCTATCTTAGCGTAGCTAATGCCTTAGCAGAATTAGGCATTCTAAGCAACTTGGATTGACGGATCTCTGGCTAAGGCTGGTATTTGTACCTTAACTTCTACGTTCTCAGATTTTCTAACCTTCAGTACGGTGCCATTGTGTTAGTACTAACCCTGGCGAATTAAACTTGACCTTAAAATCTCGCACAATATTAATCCTGAAAACTCAATTTGGGCACTTATTTGAAAATAAATATGGTAAGATTTAGAAAGGAAATGATGCGACTTATGAAATTTTGATATTTACTAGGTATTTGCGTAGACGTAAATTTATTAATTGGTAACTGAGACCGCTCGCTCTCCCTCCCGCATAATTCTGGCCCGAAACTGCCATGCACTCTGCTTTTTGTATTCTGGTGAGTGAATAAATAAATATCTGTGATCAGCGGAATTTTTGTCAACCAACTTTTTTAATTCAACTGTCTTTCGCTATCGATTCAGCGAAGACTCATGGCATACCTAGCTTTGATGAATAAAGTTTTTCTGCTTTAAATCTTAATAGTGTTTTCGGTTGTTAGTGTCTTATAGAGGCTTACCTACTGCGTATAGGAGTATCCCTACTCATGGGTGGACCTAGGAGCATCCACTCCGCCAATCTCGTGTCTCTGCAACGCTCAATCTCGTGTCTCTGCAACTCTCAATCTCGTGTCTCTGCAACGCTCCATCTCGTGTCTATGCAACGCTCAATCTCGTGTCTCTGCAACGCTCCATCTCGTGTCTCTGCAACGCTCAATCTCGTAGTCTCTGCATCGCTCAGTCTCGTGTCTCTGCAACGCTCAATCTCGTGTCTCTGTAACGCTCAATCTCGTGTCTCTGCAACGCTCAATCTCGTGTCTATGCAACGCTCAATCTCATGTCTCTGCAACGCTCAATCTCGTGCCTGGGCAACTTTACCACTTGTGTCTCCACTCACCACGCTACTACGAGCGAGCATACCACCGAGCTATAAGCACCTCGTCTTAACCACCGGCCTGGTCTTCCAATTCCACCGGGATCATCACCATCGAGTAGGTCACGTGAGCTTAATCAAATAAATCTCAATGGCCAATTGTTTTTGTATTAATCTAACCCGACCAATTACATCAAGCCGCCCCTCGAATTTTTGTCTGTCTGTTTTATTGAAATTAACTCTTAGTTACCCTGGCATTCGAATCCACAGATTCATAGGAGTCAAACATAGTAGATGTGGACCGGTAATATAAAGCCCCCACATGGCTACTTCATTTTCATTATTCATTTGTAAGCAATAGCCTAGCTGCAAGCAATATATAGCGCAGTTGGACGCAGTAGTGCAACCGCGTGCAGTCGCTTAACTGTACGCAGTAGTGCAACCGCATGCAGTCGCTTAACTGTACGCAGCAGTGCAACCACATGCAGTCGCTTAACTGTACGCAGTAGTGACGCTGTTGTTAACACCCACAAGGATCTCGGCGCATTTACATGCCTTGCCTCAAACCTAACACAGAAACAGCAAATAATAATCCACCTTCAATGCAGATGTTGATCTTGATCGGCAAGGCCGCCAATGCGAAACCAGACGGGTGATTAATCTAAAGGCTAACTACTCGTAGCTATTCTAGGCCAGTCGTCAGGGAGAAGAAGAGCCAAAAGGGTTACATAAAAAAGTATGATACTTTCGATTCATCATTTTTTTCAAATTGCAGGGTATAAGTACGGCAATACCGGCCGCGGAGCGTCAGTGTTGCATCGCCCGTGCTGAGGAGAGGCTAGCGACGCCAAACTGGTTCACGACAGACCATCTGAAATCACCAGCGCTACAGAAGGTCTCCCGGGCCCCTCAGCAGTCGAGGACACGACCGTGATCGTGTATTCTGTATACGGGATGAGATTGGTAATAACATAAGATTCTTCGGAGCTGTTAACTGAGCAGGATCCATTCGCCCAGTTGCCTTCCCCCCACAGGACCTTGCCGTGGTAGCTGACGTTGTAGCCTGTGATGTTGAACTCCGTATCGGGCGTGGACCACGACAGCGAAATGCTGGTGCTCGTCACGACCGTGATAGTAAGATCCGTTACTTCGGGAGGAACTGCTCAGCAAAACCCTAATGAATTGGTCGCCTGATGCAGGTCTTAAATTGATCTGACTCTTTAACACTAAGTTAAGTTATGGATTAATAGTTTCTAATTAAACATTTTTAGCATAGTCTCTATAATTTGCTAAGTAGACGTACAAAATAGTCGATAGGATTTTGAATTGACCTATAAAGGGATTCATAACATGATGATTCCGCGCTTTTAGTCTTGTCCCTAGATAATAAAATAAAGTATATCAGCGCAGCGGATTGATTCAATCAAGAGCCGTTTACGTATTAGGAAGATGGGATTGATTGTATTAACCGGCATTTATCTAACAACATTTATGAACTTTCAAGACTTGGGAATGAAAGCAGAGCGGTGGGAGCATGGTTGAACTATTTAAGGTTGACCCACGAGAATTTCCGTATTTCAGTTCAGCTTTCTTGTTACGTTGAGATCGAGAAACGTAAACAAACCCGTCATTCCCATGACGGATTGGTCGACTGGTTTGATCGCATTTCGGTGATTGGTTAATGCCAGTGACGTCACTGAGATCGTTACAGGCGAACAACAAACTACATCCGCAAAAATGGCTTCTGATGGGTCAACCTTATACTAGTTCAACCATGGGTGGGAGTCCCTTAAGGTCTAACTCATTCCACACGCTCGGTTGAGCGCCCTGTGTTTCACAGGGTGTTGTTCTCGTTTCTTTTAAAACGTTATATTTTGGGTGGATTTTGTGTTGTCAGTTGAATTGTCAGTTGAGTTCTGTAAATTGCGACACATTTGATATAACAAGTATCACCCAATTTTAAACATAAGGGCTAAAGAATCCAATTTTAAACAAAATGACTTAAGATTCCGATTTTAAACACAACGGCTAAAGAATCCAATTTTAAACATAACGGCTACAGTCTACCATATATCGTCAAGTTTTATTTTTTAGCGGATTCTTTCCTCGTAGAGCTCAAAAACTAAACGATCCCCGCTGACACGCCATTCGTATGCAAGTGGCGTCGAGTTCAGTAGTTCTGAACTTTATGAAAACCGTATGAAGCTCTTGATGGCGTGATTCATAATTATAGTGATCGTTGGTCAAAGTAGTTGTCGTTTTCGCTTTAACTGACTCCAATAAAGCCACGCATTTAGATGTTTTTTAACTTCTAACTATAGTAAGTTGAAGGAAGTAATGGTCCATTAATTATTTTGCCATTATCTATCTATTAGACTATTTGCCGTTTTAATATGCCATTATCAATGTTATTTGCCATTACCATCTCCAGCATTGTCAATGACACTGATGTTCCATGCCATCATCTATTCTATTTTTCTATGGGAATATGCATAATTATTTCACCACATTTCCAGAACGATGTATGGGCTTCAACTGCATTGAAAAATTAGGCAACTGGTTATCTCATCAACGATTGGCGTAACGGCCATTTTATATATCGAGGTCAAAGAAACAAATCGGATAAATTTTTATTGTTTGAGGGCGAATCAAAAATCAAACAAGAGCCTAGTCTCCTAAACCGTATAGACTGTATAATCAAGAAATAAATTTCTCATACAGTGTAAGTTGGCTTACATAGGAACGTGCTCAATGAAATTAGTTTTTGTGTAAACCAAATTGGTTGACTCTTTATAATACAGTGCTGGACGACATGACATGTAAGGATTTGCGCGGGAAATTTCGCATTAAAAATCCTAAAAAAAACAACTAATCGAGTTCATTATTATATTATCTTCAAACTCATTTTGATGAATAGTGACGTAAATTAGGCCGTTTCAATGATTTAATCTCAATGGCCAATAGATTTATGATAATGTAATATAGTTTATTGGCCGAATGTATACATATTTTTTCGTTGGATATCATCCGGATATCATCCATCAAATTAGTTATATGTATGATCTGCAATTATTTCTCATAATAAATTCATAGATAACGTTCCTACAATCTCGCGTTTAGTTATTGAAGTTCAAACACGAGTTATAAGACACTGCAACGCATAATCCCGGCCTGAACCTGCCACGCTGCTTTTTGTATTCTGATGAGTGTTGTTATATCTGTGATCAGCGGAATTTTTGTCAACCAACTTCTTTCAAACTGTCTTTCGCTATCGATTCAGCGAAGACTCAAGGCATTCCCAGATTTGAAGAATAAAGTTTTTCCGCTTAAAATCTTATGAGTGCTTTCGGTTGTTAGTGTCTTATATATAGAGGCTTACCTACTGCGTATAGGAGTAATTCCCTACTCATGGGTGGACCTAGCAGCATACACTCCGGCCAAGTCATGACTTACTCTACGACCGGTAGAAGGGAAGAATTTAGATGTTATTCAAACACGCTGTATGATCTAAATTGAAGCTCTTGCCACCAAACAACTATTCCCCCAAACTTCTGTGTTTGCGGGAATTCTAAAAAAAAACGAAAAAAACTAGAAGAAAAAAGACACGGCTGAACTGACACTCGAGAGATTAGAACTGCATTGATGCCGCTTTAAAGCGAATAAATTTCTAGGTTTTCGTTGATTTTCAAGTTCACAGATACGCAGGGCTAATAGGTGATGATACACTGCGATATCTAGAGCAAAGGAATCCGAAGTTCAAAATTGTTAATTTTAGATTGGATGTAAGCCTGTGTAAATGATGTCGCGACTGAATTTTGGGGATATCCGAATTTAAGATCAGCGACTTGTAGTCAACTATTTTCTTGCAGCGTTCTTTTCACTATTGCTGAAACTTTAGATGTCCTCTAACGTGCGGTTGTCGAAGCCAATTTTTTTGATAGTTTTTAATATAACTGTATATTTTAACTATATTTATAATATAACAATATATTATATATTATAACTATAAATATAATTTAACTATCTATATTTGAGCTTTCCAGCGGTATTTGAATGCACATGTATTGTCGTTAGCGACGTGTCGTCAGCTATAGGTATTGCAGTGGGTTGAAGCGACTATGCTGTTAGAAAAACAAAGAATTTTAGTGCATTCAGCATTCATATACATATATCAAGCCAAGCACATACGTAAGTTTTCCCATTGTGACTGATGATCAAAGTGATATTGTTTGAGTGGTATTGTTCTTTTACGATTAGTGGTATTGTTCTTTTTACGATCATGATATTTATTAGTTAGACATTGATATCTCTGTACCGTTATTTATAGATCCATAGTGCATCATATAGATCGGCGAGAAGCAAGCAACAGCATCGTACATCAGGTGGCCCAAATGAGGGCGGATGAACGATAATCAGAGGCGGCGATCCATCGTGGCCTGGGACTGCTATGTCCCAAACAAGTACCAAGATACCAAGTGTGAGTGTTAAACCATATTAGAACCCCAAAATCTGACGCGTGTTTAATCCCTCCGATAGCTAAGCTAAACATTTCATTGTGTAACATTTCAAGTTATTTCATTCCACTCAGAGCTAAGCAAGTTCATTTGAGCGATGAGATGTGGAGCCTAAGACGTACAGTCAAAGTTCTGGATGACAGACAGCGTCCCAGCAACAACTGGACACTGAGGAGTTCTTGGCAACAACTGGACAATGAGGAGTCCTGGCTACAACTGGACAATGAGGAGTCCTGGCAACAACTGGACACTGAGGAGTCCTTGGCAACAACTGGACAATGAGGAGTCCTGGCTTTAACTGGACAATGAGGAGTCCTGGCAACAACTGGACACTGAAGAGTCCCAGCAACAACTGGACACTGAAGAGTCCTGGCTACAATTGGACACTGAGGAGTCCTGGCAACAACTGGACACTGAGGAGTCCTGGCTACAACTGGGCACTGAGGAGTCCTGGCAACAACTGGACACTGAGGAGTCCTGGCAACAACTGGACACTGAGGAGTCCTCGCAACAACTGGACAATGAGGAGTCCTGGCAACAACCGGACAATGAGGAGTCCTGGCAACAACTGGACACTGAGGAGTCCTGGTAACAACTGCGGCAATGAGGAGTCTCGGTTACAACCTCCGTGCTTGAGAGCCTCAGCTGCCCCGTAGTTGATGAGCATAAATTCTTTTCCCAACCTCGACAAGCTTTAATGCTAAAGGACTTTGCTGGCTGGGGTCATTCAGCCGAATACAGCAAGACAACACAAGATGAAACATCAGCAAATTAATGTATTACATCGAGCAACAGGTGGTGGAACATCGGGCAACAGAAGATAGAACATCGGGCTACGGGAGGGGGGACATCGGGCAACGGGAGGTGGGACATCAGCCCACGGGATATGAGAAGACCGCCACTCAACATCGAACATTATACAACGGGAAACGGGACATTAGGACGCAGGATGTAGGACGTCGGTGCGCTGACGATGGGATGTCGTTTCGCAAGAGATAGGACGTCGGTGGCATTGAGGATTGGACGTCGGGGCGCAGCATATGGGACGTCAAGAATACAGAGATGGGACGTCGGGGCGCGGGAGATGGGACCCCAACAACTGAAGTAGTCTCCGTAGTTTACTCATAAAAAAGCTCCAAGATTTACTCATAAAAAGACCACCATACGTGTCAACCCCCCGTCACCTCACCAGCCCCCCAGATTTCAACCTATCAGCGTCCTCCTCCCCATCGTCAAATGACTCATCCTTCCTCCCCCAGCCCCTGAAAGTTTACCCAAGTTATCAGGTAGTCGCCCAAAATTCCATTCTCTTCTTCAGGGACCTCCCACGATACAAATACCTCTTTCGGACCCGAGGAGATTGCTGTCAAGTTACGAACTTCAGAAGGATCTGCAAGATAACAAATTGGCGTACTCGAATCTCGTTTGCTAAACCAGTACCATACGATACTAAGATAATGAGCCGAAATCAATCGTATTGGGATTGCTTCTTTGTGATTGAAGATGGTATTATTTCGCCTAATTTTATTACCTTGTTTGGGATCATTTTTATCACATAGCCATTATATCTGGATCAGAACATGAGCGTTTATGCCAGACAATAGTGTAGGTACCGAGAGTTTAAATTCAACCATCATATTTTTATCTTCAAGCTTTGATAGCTTTGAACATCTAAACCGACCAAAACACTCACGCGCTTCTTGAGTGCTATTTACTAGTTTAGAAGAACTTCCTGGCCCCTCTTCTGTCCAGGCCACGACCGTGATCGTGTATTCAGTGTACGGCGTGAGACCGTCAATCTCGACATACTCCTCGTCACCGTTCACAGGGACCGATCTGTTCTCCCAACTGCGGTTCCCCCACAAGATCTCGCCGTAGTAGCTGACGCTGTAGTTAGTGATGACGCAGTAGGTGGCGGGCCTCGACCACGACAGCGAAATGCTGGTGTTCGTCGCGTTCGTGCAAGTGAGATCCGTAACCTCGGGAGGGACTGCCCAGCAAAGTTCAAATCGGTCTATCACTGATGCTTGTATGATAGTACCTTTCTGTGAGTAAGATTCTACTTATCCGAAGATGGCATTAAAAATCCTATTTAGCATAAATAAATAAATTTCAAATTGAATGTTGTAAAAGACAAGAAGTTTCATGGTAACCATAAATTAACTTTAATGTATATGTTAGTCGCAAAGATTAAATCCTGGGTGGTTCATTCAATCGGATGAGGAAAACTAACATTATCCGAGGATTTGGTATGCACACCTCTTACAGAATTTTATCACATCCAAAAATCATAAATATTCTTCTCCAAACATTTTTCTACTCTTAAGAATATTTTGTCTAAATGTTCTTCTCCGAAAATGTCAGAATGAGCGTCACTTAATTGTAAAGCGTCACGAGACTGTCGGCACCTTCGGTTTCCGTGGTCTCGTTGGTGTAGCTCTCCTCCCCATAGCCAGCTCCTGTTTGAGCTTTGACTGTGATGTCGTAGAGAACGCAAGCTATGAGTTCTTGCATTTCTTGCATCATTCCTCCAATGAGGAAGCTTGTATCGTTGACTTCAGCTGATTGGTTATCTCCTGATTCATTCCTCCAAGTTATCAGGTAGTCGCCCAAAATTCCGTTCTCTTCCTCAGGGACTTCCCACGATACAAATATCTCTGTTGCACTCGTAGAGTTTGCCATCAGGTTACGAACTTCAGAAGGATCTGCAGGATAACAAATTGATGTTAAATTGGAACTTGCTCTGTAACCGGAGATATATCGTATATTGCTAATGAGTTTGTACTAATCTATTAACCTTCTATTCGTAATTGTGCTGGCCTCTAAATCTATGTATTTATTTTGAAAATAAATTATATCACAAAGCGAAAAAATTTGATTATGTCATCTCTATACACACGAGCAATTTTCTGAACTAACGAGTGAGAGTATTTGTATTCAATCTATATCCCATTCATATTTCGCTTGCCCTGCAAAATGACCAAACCGCCGATGCACTTACGCGATTCCAGAGTGCGAGTCACCAGCGGTTCAGAAGGTTTTCCAGGCCCCACTGCAGTCGAGGCCACGACCGTGATCGTGTATTCTGTATACGGGATGAGATCGGTAATAACATAAGATTCTTCCGAGCTGTTAACTGAGCAGGATCCATTCACCCAACTGCCGTTCCCCCACAGGAGCTTGCCGTAGTAGCTGACGTTGTAGCCTGTGATGTCGCACTCCGTGTCGGGCGTCGACCACGACAGCGCAATGCTGGTGCTCGTCACATTCGTGTCAATAAGATCCGTAACCTCAGGAGGAACTGCCCAAAAAATGTTTAATCGATTTTATCAGCGGATGCTCGTCTGACAGTGTCATTTTGAGAGTGAGATTCCATTTGTATGTAGAACGCTAAAAAATTCCGTTTTGGCATAAAGAAAATTTTAGTGTATAAATTGACAGTGACGACCGTGACAGTAAGTTCCGTCACTCCGGAAGAAACTGGTCGAGTGAAAACAGAAATTTCACTAGACTGCAATCTTTCTAGCGCATTTTCTCATTTATGAAAAAAATGCACTATTGTGCTCGCCATGTCCGTCCGTCTGTCTGTCCGTCCGTGACTTCATGTTTTCGTCGACGAGAAAATGCGCCCTCGTCACTCACTGCAGTAAGTACTGAGTTATATTTTTTGATGATTTTCACAATCAACAATTGTGAGTTAGGTTGCTCTGATAAATTTCAAACGATCTTTGCGAGCAACAAGTTCTCCTGGGAGCATATATTTAGTTCAAGGATATTCTTTGGAAGATAATCCGGTGATTGGGTGTATTCGAATTTTATTTGGGTGAGAAAATTGATAGAAAGTCTGAAACATCAACTCAGTGATTCAATTCGTGGTCATGATAACCAGTAGAAAAGATTTGAGATAAATTCACAAATGTTTCAATTGCATCAATTTATACGCCATCTTTTGCATCTTGAATAACAAGCCAGTAACATTAAACCAGTCACTATTTCTTCCACAGTTAATTGACACAATTTTCCTCTCCGGACAATGTCTAACATTAACGGAATCGCCTGAAATATTCTCAGAATAAATTTTAGAACACAATGAGATGATTGTCACCATCTGAATCAGTCGTAGCGTCGATGTAGCTCTCCTCCCCATAGCCTGCTCCAGTTTGAGCCTTGACGGTAATGTTATATAAGACACAAGGGAAGAGGCCTTCAATGAGGAAGCTTGTGGTGTTGACTTCAGCTGATTGATTATCTCCTGATCCATCATCCCAAGTTATCAGGTAGTCGCCCAAAATTCCATTCTCTTCCTCAGGGATCTCCCACGATACAAATATCTCTGTTGAATTCGTAGAGTTTGCCATCAGGTTACGAACTTCAGAAGGATCTGCAGGATAACAAAATGACGGATTTGAATTTTGTTTAATAAACAGTATTTTACGATAAACAGAGAATGAACCAACTTCAACGCTTTATTTTTGCTTACTGATTAATAAGAGAGCTATTGAGCCGATTCATTCTATGAATTTGCTTGGAAATTGTTACGATAATCAGACTTAAAAACATGCAAATATTATGAAACTACGAGAACGAAAGAATGTGGTGACTTTGCTCATCTATTTTCTTGCGCTTGATTATTAATTACACTCTTATCTGGTTTTATCAATTAAATTAAGTATTTACCAAATTCAAATGTCTTGTTACCATTTAGGACTATCTATACCAACAGGTCTGTTCAATTGATTATTTCGTGAATTAATATATAAACAATCAATCCAGAACTCAAAGCTTCTTTAATTAAATGACCACATCGGAACAGGTATTGATTTCTCACACGCTTCGTCAGTGGTAATGATTAGATCAGAAGGCATTCCAGGCCCCGCTTCAGTCGAAGCCACGACCGTGATCGAGTATTGCGTGTACGGAGTGAGACCGACAATCTCGACATATTCCTGGCTCCCGTTTACAGATCTCGATCCATTCACCCAGTTGCCGTCCCCCCACAAGATCTCGCCGTAGTAGCTGACGCTGTAGCCTGTGATGTCGCACTCCGTGTCGGGCGTCGACCACGACAGCGCAATGGTGGTGCTCGTCACATTCGTGCCAATGAGATCCGTAACCTCAGGAGGAACTGCCAAAAAAAATTTAACCGATTAATCAGCGGATGCTCGTCTGACAATGCCTTTTTCTGAATGAGCTTCAATTTATACGTAAATCTTATAAAAAAATCACTTTGGCACTTATAAGGAAGTTTTAGAGTGTAAATTAACAAAGACGACCGTGACAGTGAAATCCGTCACTTCGGGAGAAACTGATCGAATGAAAACAAAAATTTCAGTAGACTGACTATCTTTTTTGGATGATAAAAACGAGTGTGAATTAGGTTAATTTGATCATTTTCGAGCGATTTTTGAGAGCAAGTTCTCCTGAGAGCATATATTTACTTCAATGAATGCTTTTGAAGATATTTCGGTGCATTGGGTGTATTCGAATTTTATTGGAGTGAGAAAATCGATAGAAAGTTTGAAACATCGACGCATTGATTCCATTAGTGGTAAGGATAACCACTAGAAAATATTTGAGATAAAATTCACAAGTGTTTCAATTACATTCAATTAAACGCCTTTACCATATCTTGAATAACATGGCAGTAACATTAAACCAGTCGCTCATTCTTCCACTGTTAATTGACACCCTTTTCCTTTCCGTACAATGTCTAGAATTAGCAACATTACCCGAAATATTCTTAAAATAAATTTTAGAACACAATGAGATGATTGTCACCATCTGAATCAGTCGTAGCGTCGATGTAGCTCTCCTCCCCATAGCCTGCTCCAGTTTGAGCTTTGACGGTAATGTTATATAGGACGCAAGGGATGAGGCCTTCAATGAGGAAGCTTGTGGTGTTGACTTCAGCTGATTGATTATCTCCTGATCCATCATCCCAAGTTATCAGGTAGTCGCTCAAAATTCCATTCTCTTCCTCAGGGATCTCCCACGATACAAATACCTCTGTTGGACTCGTAGAGTTTGCCATCAGGTTACGAACTTCAGAAGGATCTGCAGGATAACAAAATGACTGACTTGGGTCTGTTTTGTAAACAGTATTATACGATAAACAGCAGTGAATGAACTAACTTCAACGTCTCATTTTTGCCTCCTGTTGAATAAGGGGGCTATTATGCCGACTCATTTTATGAATTTGTTTGGAAATAGCAACCATTATCAAATTAAAAACAAACAAAAAAATACGAAACTATGAGATCAAATGAGTGAAGTGGCTTCACTTATTCTATTCTTCACGTTTGATTATTGAATACACTATTATGAGTTTTTTATAAATTGAATTACCTATTTATCGACTATACATGGTCATGGTACTAGAACTATCTATATCAAGAGGTCTGTTCAATTTATTATAAATGATGAATTAATAAATCAAAAATAAATCCAGAACTCAAAGCTTCTTTAATTAAATGACCACATCGTAACAGGTATTGAATTCTCACACGCTTCGTCAGTGGTAATGATTAGATCAGAAGGCATTCCAGGCCCCGCTTCAGTCGAAGCCACGACCGTGATCGTGTATTGAGTGTACGGAGTGAGACCGTCAATCTCGACATATTCCTGGCTCCCGTTTACAGATCTCGAATCATTATCCCAGCCGCCGTCTCCCCACAAGATCTCGCCGTAGTAGCTGACGTTGTAGCCTGTGATGTCGCACTCCGTGTCGGGTCTCGACCACGACAGCGCAATGCTGGTGCTCGTCACATTCGTGCCAATGAGATCCGTAACCTCAGGAGGAACTGCCAAAAAAAATTCAATCGATTTATCAGCGGATGTTCGTCTGACAGTGCTTTTTTGTGAGTGAGATTCCATTTGTACGTAGATCGCATAAAAAATTAATTGTTGGCACTTATATAGAATTTTTAGAATATAAATTGACAGAGACGACCGCGACAGTGAGATCTATCACTTCGGGAGGAACTGATAGAGTGAAAACAGAAATTTCACTAAACTGACAATTTTTTCTGATGGTAAAAAACGAGGGTGAATTACGTTACTTTGATAATATTCACGCGATCTTTGCAAGCAACAGGTTCTCCATAGAGCATATACAGTGGGGGGAAATAAATATTCGTACACTTGAAAAATCGTATTTTAATGTATGTAAGTACACAAACTTAACAGGAAAAGTGATTTAAATTATGTATAGAGACGCATAGTATTCAAAAATACTATCAAAAGAAATTAAATCTCAATGCAACAAAAAACAATGCNTTCAAATGTCATGTTACAAATTAGGACTATCTCTACAACAGGTCTATTCAATTGATTATACATATATGATGAATTAATAAATGAACAATATATCCTAAACTCAAAACCTCTTTGAATGACCACATCGTAACAGGCATTGAACTCTCACACGCTTCATCAGTGGTAATGTTTAGATTCTCAGAAGGCATTCCAGGCCCCGCTTCATTCGAGGCCACGACCGTGATCGTGTATTGTGTGTACGGAGTGAGACCGTCAATCTCGACATATTCCTGGCTCCCGTTTACAGATCTCGAATCATTATTCCAGCCGCCGTCTCCCCACAAGATCTCGCCGTAGTAGCTGACGCTGTAGCCTGTGATGTTGCACTCCGTGTTGGGCCTCGTCCACGACAGAGCAATGCTGGTGCTCGTCACATTCGTGTCAATGAGGTCCGTGACCCCAGGAGGAACTGCTCAGTAAAATCCTTATGAATTCGTGACCTGATTCTCTTCCATCACTACCCTTTGCCAATTATTTTTTTTACTACTTAAGCAGACATAGTGTGATCTTTTGCAGTATCTTATAGACTTACCAATAAATAGAAGAAAGCATTATTTTAACTCGGGACCATTTTGTACATGATTATTCGGAGCTGCAAATCTTGTATTAACAATTACGTGAACATATTCATGATTGGAGACGACGACGCCTGAACTAAATTAGAGGTTGTTTACTTATCAAAGAATGGGGGTATTGACATAGACAGCTGGCGCATCTCCTGATATGTTCAATCATTTCAGTGATTACATATGAACTTAACAGAAAATCGTCGATTTGCGATGAGTTACTGTTGCACAGAGATATACGCGTGTTCCCATGCATTTAGTAAACTAGAGAAATAATGGGCCCGTACATGCGCGATTATCTTACCGTCGGTTTGTGTGGTTGCAGTTGCGTGTCCAGGAGGTCCGTAACCGGCAGAAGTTTGAGCTTTCACATTAATAAAATAATCAACGCAAGGTTCGAGAGAGGTGATGATGTACTCAGTATCTCCTACGCTCTCAGAACGGTTTTCGAAATCATTTATCCAGCTTATGCTGTAGTTCAACAACACGCCGTTCTCTTGCTCAGGCGGCGTCCACGACACCTGAATAGTTCTAGAGCTGTTCGATACTGCAGTCACTTTACGAGGCTCACTTGGGGCTGAAGTGCAAAAAAACAAGTATCAAGTATTAATTATTTTAAGAATTAATAGTTGCATAAGAGTCGAGAAGGTATGAAGATATTGTATCAGCATGTTCAGGTCATATATCTAATTTTCAAGTGAAATGCAATATTTGCATGGTCATTGATTGGAGGGTGAGAGGCTGCTGTATTTGCACCCAAAGGGCGACACGGATGGCAAATGAGAAAAACATTGGAATTCAAATCATTGCTGAGTTATCCATCCTCACCTGCTTGCTCTGTTTTCCCGTCTACACTCGCAGGCTCGCTTTCGCCAGCTTCAGTTACAAACACCACAGAAAAATTATAATAGGCGTAAGGTTGCAGGTCCGTCACCGTATACTCGACGTTAGGTTCTGTAGAGTTTATTGTGTCGGTCAGGCCGTTCACTTCGCTTTGGATTCCCCAGAGAATGTAGCCGGTGTAGTTGATGCGGTACATTTGGATCTCGCATGACACAACGGGCGCCGTCCATGATAGTGTGATGCTGGAGCTCGACGTGTTCAAAACCTTTAATTCATTCACAGCAGTCGGCTTAACTGAATGGGAGGGAAAGACACAACAATGGGCTTGAATAGTATTGTCTCTTAATCAATCAAGTGGTAAAGTTAATGATTAATAAATTCATAGAATAACAAATATAAGAGAACATGCATTGATCCACTCCATTCGAACTGCATGATTCGATAATAAATTTCATTTTTACCGCAGGGTGGTGGAGTTGTGGTTCCTTGTTCAGTTGTTACTGTCGCCGTTGTCTCTGCTGAACTTTCTGTAGTGGTTGACATAGTGGTTGTCCCGTTTGCGTTCGACGATTGGTTTTCTGAGGTTGAACTCTCTTCAGCCAAGTTCTATGAAAAATGAAGCGTTTTAGATCCCCATTCACGCAATATGGAAAGATTCTGAGAGTAACACAGTTTCAACAAAAAAAAATTGATCCACAATCATATTGAGTCACACCCAGTTCGCCCACTTCTTTATCCACGAAAAGGTTCCGTGAGAGACTTATTCACGAATTTTGCTGCAGTTTTATCGCAATTGACCACGTGCAACAGCTATGCTTTCTAGTAGTTAGTTTCTGGAATTGAACAATGCCCAAGTTAAATTCTTACTTCACATTCCTTGGCTGATGCAAGCATCTTTCAGAGCATAGTACCGTGTGGAGTTTAATGCTCAAAGATATATAATTAAGGGTAGAAATCAAGCAAGTGTGCAGGTAAAGCCTGCTATTGGCTTCATGCAAGAAGGTTGTGAGACGGTGTCACGTATGAGGTACGGTCATGTACATCGTAGAGAACCAACTATTGGCCGCGTTTGGAACGCTTAGCAATTGGTTTCAAGCCGCCGCACCTCTCTATAAGCAGACGAAAAATGTAGATACCTATCTTGGGAAGTAGCTTTTTACTAATCGGCAGAGGGCTTCAACTATTATGGTAACTGGGTGGGTATTACAGACATTCCAGCCAATTCTCTAAACGTGTCTTCTGTAAATCACCAGCTGTCCAGATTGCATCTGTTGCTTGACGTTGTAATGATGTGAGTTCAAATTGCAAGTTTAGTCACAGTACTATAATGTGTTGCCTTTCTATCATGCAATTAAGTATAATTCGTGCCTCCTTATACTATTGTGATTTTTGTTTTGTTTTAATGGTAGAGCTCACGGGCGGAAGCCAATAGATAAATGTTAATGTAGCATATTTCTCCCGTCACAATATTAGTTTATATTATGAGAAGTATGGCATGGTGGGCGTATATTTATAATGTCGGCCAGGTTTAACCCAGTCAATTGACAGGCCTGATTAGCGGAAATCCTGCGCGATCTCCGGCTTTTAGCTTTGAGACTAAATGTGGCTATTGCATGCTAATTCTAGGCGCCGGTTCTAGGGATAGTGGGAGAGTTTAATTTGTGGCTTACGGCTGCGTTCCCAGGAAGTCAGGGATGACCGATTCGCCGCTATCGTGCGGACCAGGTAGTTAGAGAGGATGGGAAATAGTTGTGGGTCACAAATCCAACAATTAAGCTCGTCCTTGTGCTTAACCTTATCCTGCATTAGCTGAACAGAGCCTAGGATCTAATACGCCACAGACTACGCTGAAGGCATGAAAACCGTACTTGCTTAAGTTAAGTACCACTTCACATAATATTAATTCTTATGGCCCTGCCTCATACGTTACTCCGTATCTCCACCTTCCCGCAGCCAAAATCAGACGATACCTGCTCATTTGCACAGTATTTTCATTTTCCCGCCGTCAATCATAAGGTTCGGTCAGGTTGAGTTGACGAACTGTTGACTTTATGAATGAGGTAGTGTCATTTGTTTTTCTATATGAAGAATTGGGTCATGACAGGTCATTTTTAGAAGTGTAACAGGTTTAAAGTACGGGCTGCGAATTCATGGCTCCTATGGCTTTAAACGCTAATCTTACTAGGCTACTATGACCTATATGGCATGCTTGCCCACAGAAAAAAATTATGATAATTTGCGAAGTTGGACAAAGCTGGCCTACAGCATGAACTCCTGTCGCCATCGTTGGACGACGTCACTCGATCATACCCCGTTACGGATATATCGCCAGAAATGAGGGTACCACAGCAGTACTTGACAATATTCAGACACATTTTGAACATTGAAGGGAGAATAAAATCGTAAGTATTCAAATGAATTTCAATAACAAGCACGGGGGAGAACGAAGGTGCTGACCTCTTAAATTAAAATCGTACTGTTTGTTAATTCTACCAATATTCCTATCGTTTTTCATGTCAGTCTCGTTTCCGACAGCCAAAACCAATTTTCTTTAAAAAATAATATGAAGTTTTCAATTTATAGAGGCAGCATTATATGCAGCACTCTAACATTGAATTGTATCGAGCTGAATATTTCTTCGATCCTATACTGATTGCCATTTTTATATCATAAATAACCATTTTATTATAACTGTCATTGATGATCCTTGCATAGCGGTTTTATTTGAAACTATTTTTATGTTATAAAGGAAAGAGTTACGATACTTTTCATTTTACAATTAAGGTTTTCGGTCACTTCAACGTGATCTCGTTGAGCCACGCTCTGTACTCGTCACTCTCTGTAATTTCATTACAGAGAAAGGCTCGAAATTTCGTGTCCGAGGCAAAGAATCATGTAGATAAGAAGTTTTGCACTAACATCCTTTAGGCGATAGATGATGCTGAAGAGAACGCACGGTGGATTCTTTTATGCGTGAAGTTCTTTATTATTTTTGTTTAATTCAAAGAATTTGATCCCCTTCTTTGAGGTGAATGTACAGTGCCACGGCAGGTTTTGTTTTCATTTACATATATTTAATGAATGGGTGCCGACAATGATATCGTATACAATTTTCTATGTGATACTATAAAAATACTATCACAACTTCTGCTGCATTACAAAAGAGTGCTACTCCAGCATCTTGACAACCTCTCGACTTCACTTGTAATGACGAAGCTTAGCATTTAACGAAGCTTAGCGGCCTTAGCGAATAGGGTCCACGTACGTTAGGACCAAAAATGTTACCACTTTTTTACGAGCATATGTTGCCATTTTTTTAGCATCGGAGATTGATCTTTTATCCTAAAGGTTCTGGTTACGTACCTGTGAGAGAAATTTTCACACACTGATAGCGGACTAATTACCGCACTGTGAATTTTAAATTTATGTTATGAAAATATAACTCGTTGATTTTTCTAATTTGTTGACCGAGCACGACATGTAACAATGTGTAAGAAAAAATTAAATGATCACAATTAACGTATGATAATTATGCGTGGCAAGCGATGCATCGAAGGGTTTGAACAAGAAATATATGAAAGCTACTATATACGTGTTATATGTTCATTTTAAGTTCATTTTGATGAATCGCTACGCTTTTCCGTCCACTGGTGGAATTCAATTTAACAAATGCGGGTAGACAAGTCCATGGTGTATCAAATTAAATTATCCGGTTTAATAAAATCATAACTATTTGGTTATTTGAACTAAATGCACCAACAAAGCATTTTTTGAAAGAGAAAGTTTTCAAGTTTGTCATGGTTTCCGTTGGTTTGTTCCTGAGAAGCTTTGTATGTGCTGTTTATAGTGGGAGTCTACAATTACTACTCAGTGTAAATTTCGTACCAAGTATGATTTTACGTATATTCGATAATGAAGTGCTTGAATGCACGACTTTCCGTCGTTCTCTCTTGAAAAAATCGGATTCTGTAACAATATAGAATTATAAAAATGGCGACATAAAATTATTATTGCACATAAATTATGAAGAACGGGTAAAATCGTTAATTTCGAACACAGGTCACGACATTAAAACAGTTTTACATCTTCAATGAACCTTCAGAATTAAAACACACGTACTAAATATTTCCTTCTTCTTACGCTAAATCCCGCAGTCAGCTGAAACTTACGATGCTAACTAGATCGACCAAGGGTGCACTGTACATTACACGCATGCCCCAGGCGAACATAAAACATAAAAATTATATTCGAGAAGAAAGAATTTAACATATGCTTTTGTTCTTCCTACATCACAGAGCTTAAAACGTTGGTCTGAACAATTCCAATAAACAGTTCAACTGCTCAGCCTGCTGTCGGTGTCCTATCGACGTGTACGTGTAGCATCGACGATAAGACAAGAAACCATACAGACTTGCAGCTACTGCAACCTCTTCATTAAGATGTGGGAGGTGCTTCGTACACCCCAAGTCTTAAAAACCAATTATAAAAAGAAAAATTCATTAAGATGACAAACAATGACGAGTGGAGTTTTGTAACTTTGTTATTGGCGAGATGATGGATCATTTTTTATCGCACATAGTGTTCAATGGCATTCAAACGTTCTATTTTAATAGCAAGGTGAACCGCAACAACGTTATTATATGAAATATAGGAAAAAACATAGTAAATTGTCCATCATGCGAGAGACTTTGCAAATTTAATGTATTTCGCGCCGTTTCACAAAGATGTGTAGGGACTAGGGTATACTTTTTCTTCTTTCTTGGGAACACTGTTACAGGAAAGGCACATCTCGATAAGCTTGAGAATTACCCTTCCTTCCAATTAGGGATGTATACGATCAACTTCATCTATCAACAGGAAAAGCGCCGCCACTTTGGCATCAAGAAGTTCATGAATTTTTTAACAGTATCTATCCCATATGTCGTCCGCAGTGGGCAAAATGATTCATCCTTACATTTAAGGCCTTCATTATCACAGAATTTACTGTATTAAAATTTTTATTGGGGGTACTTACTAAAGATTCCGTTTATACACCGCCACTAACTACATAAATCAATGGTCCAAGTAATTGCATAACAACAGCAGTGGATTTTGTAACTCAGGACACGCTCGTTGAAATGTGCGACAAATTTGTCTTCCTTGCAATTAGACATTTCCCGTACATCGAAACATGGACGTAATGAAAAACTTTTAAAA